AAACTACAAGAATTTATTTACAGAGACCATTATTGGCGGAAGGTTCCTAAAGTTGGGATTATTCTGATTCTGAAATAATCGATACTTGGGATTATTATGGGCGGACCGCCAATAGTTGGGATTATTACTATCAATTTTTTCAAATAATTATTATTTCTCCTATTTTATTGGGCAAACATCGCACGAAGTGCGTACACCGCTAGTTATATATATATATATATATATATATATATATATATATATATATACATATATATATATATAAGGTAAAGCATGTATAGAAGTTTTTAAAATCTTACTTTTAATACTTTTTTGGAAAAATTGAAAATAATAATCCCAACTATTGCTGGTCCGCTGAAAATAATCCCAACTATTGATTATTTTTGTATAATCCCAACTATATAGACTATCCGCCAATAATGGTCCATGGCCATATATTACCTCTATAAAAAGTGAATTTTAAATAGAAATTAAGCGTAAAAATTAAAAGTTGAGATTATTTATAGGGATTACTTGTTATATCTCATCTCATCCACTTTAGAAACTACAAGAATTTATTCATAGGGACCATTATTGGCGGAAGGTCCCTAAAGTTGGGATTATTCTGTAATAATCAATAGTTGGGATTATTATGAGCGGACCGCCAATAGTTGGGATTATTACTATCAATTTTTCCTACTTTTTTCAATACTTTTAAAAATATACTCCCTCCATCTCTAAATGAACTTCCAACTTTCCTTTTTGAATTCGTTCGTCCCAATTAAAATTTTCACTTTCCCTTTTTGACAAAGAATTTGTGGTTCACAACAATTCTTACACATTTCTCTCTCCTCTGCACAACTCCCCACCATACAATACTCACTATCTTAAATTGTGTTCCAAATCTATTTGGAATTTTTATTAGGGCAGGAGGCCGGAGGGAGTAGTTAAGAACTATGGAAATTTTTGTTTATATGGGCCCACGCCCACACGAGCAGAATAAAATGAAACAATGGATTTCTACCTATGTCTAGATCTCGAAGAAATGAAAATTTTATTGATAAGTCCTTTTCAATTGTCGCGAATATCTCATTACGACTAATTCCGACAACGGCAGGAGAAAAAGCGCCATTTACCTATTATAGAGCGGAGATTTTTTTCAATCACTTAATTAATAAATAACTTAACGTGTTTGTCTTTCTCATAAAACTTAGAAAAATTATTCAAGATGAAAGAAAAAAAAATTGTGTTTGGTTAGAATTCAACAAAATTCTATACATTATTTATGTAGAAAATTTTCAATATCCACATGGGCTCATAGATTAGGGTTATGTTTGGCACATCGAAATGTAGGTGGAGGCAAATGTCTGAATTAAGGACTGCTGTCTGAACTATAAACTATTGTGTAGATATGAATTTCAAAATTATTCATCTGAGCTGTTATTCACTAGATGAGGTAAATTTACAATTTGATGTTAAAATGCAAAGTTTGCCATCATTGATCAAGAAAATTTAATACGAAGTATGATGAACCTTTTTAGATGGACGTAGTATTATATATTAACTTTTACGTACATGTATTCCAATTGTAAAACATGTATAGTAGTTTTTACAATCTCAATTTTAATACTTTTTTCCAATAATTTTAAAAATAAAATGTAGAATTATGAAAATTTTGTCGTGTTCGATTAGAATTCAATGAAATTCTACACATTATTTATGTAAAATTTGCTCAACACTCAAACAGACTCATAGATTAGGGTTATGTTTGACACTTCGCAATGTAGGTGGAGGAAAATGTCTGAATTAAGTACTATTGTCTAAAGTTCTGAACTATAGACTATTGTCTAGATCTGAATTTTGAAATGGTGCATCTGAGTTGTTAGTTACGTTATATGAGGTAAATATGTTTGTCAAAAAGAGTTAAAAATGTTAGGATAATATGACCTGATTAAATCAGATTATACAAATTGGACCAAATCCGATCAGAATAAACAAATCAGTAAAAAAAAATAGTCCAATTAAATATGATTTTAATGGAGTCCTTCCTAAAATTTAGAACTCTGTATGTATTCGATTAGAATTGAATAATCTTGAAAGTATTCATGAGTAAATTTTTGAGTTAAATAGCTTACTATGGAGCTATATAATCAATCTACAAGCATAAGAAAGATAGACATACAAAAATAAATTATTAGCTTAATATGAGATTAATCATTCATATTTTAAAAGTATTCATGAGTAAATTTTTCTTTGTCACCAAAATTTGAGATGATGACACATGATTAATTTGGTACTAAAATGTAAAAAAGGACTTTAAAAATTATATAGGAAACCTCAAAACCTAATTCCTTGATAACGATCTAATTGAGAAAAACAAATCTTAAAACATTTCAAAAATTATGAATATGAATTTTATTAATCTATAAATTTATGCAATGAGTTCATTTAACTCTATAAGTCAATATTTCAAAATTAAGGTAAGATGAATTTAATAGCTTTAAGCTACCAACTTCTCAATGAGATTGTTGAGCAGTAATAGAATTGCATAGCCTATGATAGATATTCATAGGCTGATTTTTAAACTGCACTCATACAACTTTAATAATATCACTATATTTGACAACTAATATTTTCATAAGTTAACATATGGATCACGCTATATATAAGTCTACAATATAGAAAGCAAGTATACATGTATATCTATGCGATTAACATATCAAATATATATACAATCTTCATATATACCCAATCATCTTAATTTTTTTTTGAACAAAACTTGCCTCTATTCATATCATAAGCAATTTCAGGATCATTACATCAATCAAAGAAAAAACCAAATTGACACCAGCTAAACACCAACAATTATGACTGTAAACCCTATGGCCAGACTTGGAGACGGTCTCCCCTGAAAGAGCCACACGAATCGCTGACCATGTATTAGGCTTGACACAGTCATCCCAATTCTCACATATCCAAACATACCCAATGACACAAAAAGAGGCTAAAAACCGAAAAAGAGGCTAAGATTCCCTAAATGTTTTTAGTGGATAAAATGGTGACTTACTAAGCATTATTGCTTACGAGACTTCTATTTTCTCGTATTCTCATGTATAGTTAATAAACGAGATACATAAGCCTGAGAGAATGTATGGAGCCGGTAACAAGGTTTTGGATGGGTTAACGGAGAAGATCGGGCAATCTATTATGTTTTGTTTTTAGTACTACGGTACTGTTATGGGTTATTTAAATATTTGTTTTAAAAATCCTGATCAGGTGTAAATGTTTTGTTTGAAGACATTTTCTTTTGGTTATTTGACGTTTTCGTTATGAGATTTGGTTATGTATATAAGATATAAAATTTTATGACGAGACTTTGTATCTTTATTTTCACTTTGAGTATCGAGTCTCTTTTATGTGGACTGTCGTAATGGCCGTTTTGGGGACGGTCCTTACAGAACCTTACCCGCCCCATTTGAAACAGACAGGTTCGGTCCGAGTCCTCGGTTCTTCTCTTGTAAAAAAATATGGTTACGCAAGCAAAGTTTCTAGTAAGTTATAAAATACCCATATTCAAATTAATTACCAATTAATGTAACAAAAATATAATAAGAATTCAAAACAAAAGTATAAGACAACATTTTAAATTAGTCAACAAAATAGCGAACCAAAAATCTATAAATTAAACAACACACAACCACCTTAATCAAAATTGTAATCATCATTCATAAACTAATTAAAAAGATAGCACCATAAATTCATAAGAAAGTAAACTAGTTACTATACATATTTGTTTATGAAAATAATTTAAAGCTTATTTAATTTGCAAGTATAAGTAAAACTAAGAAAATTAAATTAATATGTCACATTTCATTTAGTAAGAGTCTTTTTTTACAAAGAGATATTAAATAAAGAAAGTTTGATGCATTTGGAATAGAGAATAGAGGAAAATATTTTAAGAGTTTAATTATATGCACTTGGAAACTATTTTTAGTAGAGTGAAAAGTTTCTTTGATTGGAAGCTTTTGTCTAGACACACTAACATGAAGAGCTTTCATGTCTTGTTAGTATATTATATTATATATTTTTTTGACCGTCAGCATATTATATTATATTAATATAAATATAATAGAGCTTAGCAAAATAATATTTTAAAATGGTTCGGTCTGGGTACACATTTTTTAAAATTTTAAGACCCGTTCGGTTTCTAAGTTTTTCAGGACCCGCCCCAAACCATTTGGGTTTTCAAAAATTTGAACCCGATCCTAACCCGCCCCGAACCTATATTACCCGACTCGCGGTTCCAGTACCTGTTTGCCCACCCTTAATATATATTGTGTTTTACTCATGTTTTAATCGAGGTACTCGTATTTTAGAACCTAAATAATGGGTTTTGTGGGTTTAATGCACCAAATCCCCTGTGATATAGAAATTCGGCAAATTAACACATTGTGATTTAAAAAAAGGCGTCAAACCCCCTTGTGTTTTAATTAATTACGCGCCAAATCCCTTCTATTAACAAATTCAATTGTCAAATAAAAGAAAAATGATTAACATTTTTGTATGATTTAGAGATTTTGACTTATTTGCTTGTTTATTTAATTAAAATATTAAAAAAATGATTTCCAAATCGTTAATTTTACTCATAAAAAGGCTTCTGTGCATGATTAATTAAAACACAAGGGGATTTGATGAATTTTTCAAATCACTGAAAATAATGCGTCAAATTTCTATATCGGGTTTGGTGCATTAAACCCCTAAAATGCCCTAAATAATACTCATAGTCAATTTTGACTAGGATGTTTTTACTTGGACTGTAATTTGTCCCAGACCAGTTCAGACCAGACCAGACCAGACCAGTTCAGACCAGACCAGACCAGACTTGAACAGTTATAAAAATACAAAGAAACCAGACCTTACCAGACCAGACCAGACCAGTTCAGACCAGACCAGATCAGACCAAACCAGCAAATTACAATCGTGTCAGGCCTTATTTGAGGGCCGGTCCTGACTCCCACCACATTTATTACGGAGTACTTTTCTTTTCCTCTTCTCCGTCCCCGTAAGGATCGGTCTATGATTACTTTCATTCGGATTAGCAGTTAGTTTCCTCTTCCGTTTCTGGATCTTGATTTTTACCCTCTTGAAAGATCTTCGTCAAAGGATAACTGCAGACTCAAAAAGGTAAACTTGATTTATACTTGTTTCTCTTATCGATTTAAATTGTGTTTCTGCAAGTCGCAACAATAGTTTTTTTTTGACTCCCTATGAGCGATACTTTGAAGATGTGATTGTATTTTCGCAGCATCTCATATAGATCTATGAATTATGATAACCTTCTTTCTCGTATTCAATAACAGAAAGTAGAATTTTATTCACTACGAAGTATTTTTTGTAGCCCGTCTCAGATCTATGAATTATGATAAACTTCTTTCTTGTATTCAATAATACAAAGTAGGATTTTATTAAAATTAATAAGTAAATCCACATAATCTGCAAGAATATATTTATTTTATTCAGTTTCGTGTCAACATTGATTTTTCAGAAAAAATTTAATGTCTGTCAATATAAAGAAACAACATATCAATTTGTTTGGGAGGAACACAAATATTTAACGCGTGGAAAGTTGTGTTGAACAAATTGGAATAGCATATTTGTGAACAAATATGGGATAGCGCAATCTGTTCAAGTATAAATTTTACACAAATTGGGATGCCCTTCGTCCCCTTTAAGATTTCCAAAATTTTTTGGACGTCCTTCATTAAAAATTGCTTTCATTTTTTAGAGAAAAATAAGGTGTTAAATCATAACTTTATTTAAATAAACACATTCATAATAACACACTACCCTACCATTTACTTTTTTTGCTCTCGTTAATCGTTATTCTTTTTAGTTTTGGACTCAAATTAACCACTTTATTTAGTTACCAGTCTAAGAAATTGTGCAATGAAACTTTTATACTCCCTCCATTAAAATTTTGTCAACTTTTCTTTTTCATTGTTTCACTCATTTTGTCATTTTCTCTTTTAAATAATGAATTTGTGGTTACGGATAATTCTTTTCCATCTGCATAAATCTCAACATCACAATTTATATTTTATTAATACCTTGTCCATCAAACTTAACAAAGTTTTAGAGTATATTTGAGAGTTTGAAACAAAGGGGAGGGTAAGGGAATGAGAGAGAAAGGGAAGGAAGCCCCTCCATCTTGTTTGCGAGTAACAAATATAAAAGGGAAGGAAACCTTTCATCTTGTTAGGGAGTAACAAATATGAAAAGATAGGGATTGTGGATGAATTATAATTAAAACCACTTGATAAATGCTAATAGTTGAATTTATATTTATTCAAATTGAGCTAAAGTTGTCATTTAATTAATTATATTTCAAAATCCCCCAATTTGGGGAACATGAAAATTGAGACTTTGAAGGGTTTTGGAGGGTTATAAAATCCCTCCAAAATCATCCCTCCATATTTTTAAACTCCCAATAATGAAAGGGAGGGTTATAAACCCTTGTCAACTTTCCCCTCTAATCCCTCCCGCATATCTCATTTAAAGGTCCCTGTCCACTATTCACATGGTTAACTTAAATCATTTTTTAATCTTTTCTTTATATATAAAACTTTTATCAAATTTACATTTTTTTTATCAGGCTTTGTAGCAGTGTTGATGTAGTTTTTGAATATGTGAATTTTATTTACTAAAAATAATCAGAATATAAATAAGGATTAAGTTGTTTTATTGTCAGTCAAGCATCATAAACTCTAATTACGGAGGGAGTACCACATAAGAATGTAAAAAAATCAAACACTCTTTCACTAGGTCCGAACTTTTTATCAAGGGAATTTTAGCGTTGCATCAAAGTTATATGAGCTGTCAGGATCACACTCTTCCATGATGTGCAGCTGGAGCTTGTTACTCCGTATCCAAGATCGATAGTGCGATGCTATTAATGATGGCTTCCATACATACTTTCTTTTTGTACTTTTAGTTTAAAAAGGCTACAGTCTAGGCAAAATGGATTGGTTTCCAAACCGAATCGAATCGAAAATTGGTGGTTTGGTTTGGTTTTACTCAAGTAAACCGTTTGGCGGCATTTTGCTCAAACCGAATGGTTTGGTTTGGTTTAAAATCGAAAAATCGCAAATCGAATCGAACAACAAACAACTTGTAATATATATAAATTCTTTTTATTTTTTTCACTCTTCATCTTTAGGATATAAATAAATAATTTAACATGAAACATACAAATTTAGCTTATATAATATCATTCTAACTTTTGCACATTTTATACAGTAATTATGACAAAGTTAGCTAATACGACATATTAGTATAGGGGAAAGGGGCAAATAAGCCCTCAAACTAATCAAAAAAGTGCAAATAAGCCCTTTTGTAGGAGGTTCCGTCCGGTCATCGTCATTTGCGGAGGTTCATGGTGGAATTTTTTGATGAAATTTTTTGAGCATCTTATTCATTAAGTCTAGTTTAGTCCTACTGAATTTCAGCTAAAAATTCAACTGGGAAGACAGTCAAATGAATTTTTGAAGATAACTGCACAGTTAACCAACACAATATATTTCCAAAAATCATTTGAGTGCCTTCCCGGTTTAATTTTTAGCTGAAATTTGGTATGACGAAACTAGACTTAATGAAGAAGATTCTCAAAAAAATTCATCAAAAAATTCCACCGAGAACCTCCCTGAATGACGATGATCGGACAGAACCTCCTACAAAAGGGCCTATTTGCACTTTTTTTATTAGTTCGAGGGCTTATTTGCCACTTTTCCCTATTAGTATATGTTATTTTTGTACTCTACCTATATGAAAAGATATTTGGCGATAACCTTAGCAAATTGCATTTATATATTTTACATGATTCATTTGAATATAATTGTGAATATTACAACATTTAATTTGTATCACTAACTCATTTAGTTTTCTTTGAATATTTTATGTGATATTATAAATGCTAATCAACTACGCAGTATAAATTTATTTATTGTTGGAAATGAATCTTTTTTTAATGATTGAGAAGATGTTAGAAGTTTTAATTTATACGTAGTAATATTTTATTATTTCTTTTTCTATATTTTTTTTTCCTTTTACATTTTATTTAAAGAGTAAATAAAAGAAGATGATATGGACAACTACTTTCATTTTCTAATTGTAGAATATAGAACTTTTTCAAATAAAATAATAAACATAAGAAACCGAATTAAATCGAACTAAATTGAACCTAATAATTTTACTTTGGTAAACTGAACACCAAACCGAAACCGAACTGAAACTGAACCGAAATCAAACCGAAACACAAATGGTTTTAGTTTGGTACACATTCTCCCAAACCGAATAAACCAAAACTGAACAGAAACAAAAAAAAAAAAAAAACGAACCGTAAACTGAATTGCCTACCCCTACTATAGCCTGATACTCTGATTTACTAAGTACACACTTTAATTTATTAAAGTATTACCAGAAAAGTCTTAATAATAAATGAAAAATGTTAAAATTATTTTAAAATGAGGTTTTTTCGTTTTTTCTTAAATATTAATAATTAAAGAGCGTGGATAAAAATGTGTCTTAATAACTACTAGTGACTATCTATGAAGCACAGATACTTCACTAGGGTGTCGTATCGGCGCATCGGAAACATTCTTGTATCCGTTACTCTAGGTTATCCGTGCTGTATGTTCTCGGGCTGTATCTACAATTTTTAAAAGTTTCCATTTTTGGTAATTATTTTAAAATTTCGGATACTTATATCCTGACGGATACCCGTATCAACTTTTTTTAAAACATCTTCCCAAAAAAAGTTTTTAAAAAAACAGTCAAAATTTATTTATATAATTAAATTCTTAAAAAATGAAAAAGTAAAAATATTTTTACCTTGCAAACTCCCTTGTGCAACCCATTTCGTTACTATCAAGTTTGCACCTTTTTCATATGGTCGCTTGGCGAACCCTACCAGTTCAATGATGGGGGGGTATTGAAGACTTTGGAGACTTGTAATTTCACCCTGAAATAATAATAATAATAATAATAATAATAATAATAATAATAATAATTCGATTGTAAAATATAATTTGTTCAATACCAAAAGTAGAGTATGACTATTAATTGCGATTGGGTTTGGTGTCTTGAAAGCATAGATCCCGGAGGGCAGTCCCCAAGCGTTATTATCTTCCAAAGTAACTTTGCAAACTTCTCCTTGACCCCCTCTTATAACAGGTCCGCCACCGTCTAGAGTTCTTTGCAATAGGTCTTTATGTTGCAGTAGTACTGGTGCGAGGTCTTTTCCTGATTGAGAAATTATGAAATTAATGTCTATTATGAAATCAATATGTCTAAGCTTGAAAAGATATTGATACAGATGTTGAGGTTGATGCTATGAAAGCACTTGATATGAACCAAATTTGAACTAATTACATAACTACTAATAACTAGAAGCTATTGTGGAGAAGCAAAGAGAAAGCTTGCAAATCTAAAGAGTGCTCATTAATTTTTTATTTCAATCTTGAACAGCTTATGCTTTTTTGTTTAAAAGAACCAGATGTTTATTAACTTGGCAGGTTTATTGTTTCCTCTGTCATGGTGGTTATTTGGTTAATTGTTTAGTGTTAAATGATTTTTGTTTAATGGTATGAATAATGGTATTAACAACATAGTAACTGAATCCGCAGAAGCTTGGGAACGAGATTGTGTTAATAGAACCTGGAAAATGATATATACTGCTGAACATATTTACACGGTATAACACTTCTGTATGGATGCTCAAGTTCAAAAAACGTCTCATCATATCGTATACCAATCTCACAAATGGTATATTGATAGATTTCACCTGCAATATTAAGCATAAGAGGGATCAAGAATTTTACACACAACTGATTAAATCAGGTAACAAATGTAAAAATAGATTAGATATGTATTATCACTTACAAAACACTTCAAAATCAGAATGGCATATCCGTAATATGTTGCATCGAAGACCAACAGTTTATCAACTTCAATACCTCCTCTATCAAATCAGAAGAAACACTTTGAGCTAATTATAGACAAAACTACACTACAAAAGAGCTAATTTTTAGCTTTGTTAAATTAAAAATCTTATATGAAATGTAAAAACTACTTGACTTACATCGAATGATAGAACATCTGATGCTTCCCGAGCATGGATGATAAAGTATAACAACAATATTCAAGTTTCTCCTTCACCTATAACATATTAAAAATATATGTTATAACTTATTTACTACATTGTACTCATTTGCGATGAACATTACAAAAACAGTTTTTTTTTTGTTTTTTTTGAAGAATAAGATAAGATTAATTGATATTAATCAAATCATTCTCAATACATCATTATAATATAATAAGCAGGAATAGATAACCAAAAATGACTTTTTGACAAAGAACCTGCTGCCCTTGCTAACGCATGAGCCGCCCGGTAATCCAAAAAACTCTCTAAAGAGGGCAACTTTTGGTTAATCATAGCATTATAGGAACATACAACAAATGTTATTTGCAACTACCTTCTTCCATTTTATGTCTTACTTTGGTTTGACACATTCATGAATAAAGTGAAATGTAGGTTGTTCAGATTTGAATATAATGCCCCCTTACGAAGTAATCAATTAAGAAAAGAAAACTTTATCTAAATGCACTAATCATTGTTTCGGGGTGAGAAGAAAATGAAATATATGGCTGCTATATCTAAATGTCCACTTACGAAGTAAAAGAAAACTTCATCTGCTAAAAGGGGTACCCTTTGGAAGGCATAACAGACATAATCTAAATAATCTATGTATTTCATTCGTCTCCGATGAAAAATCTGATGATCATGTATTTTTCATAACAAAGCGAAAAACATATTCAAACTAAAAATGCACGAATAATGTCCACCTATAATTTTTTGGCATTTGGGTAAATCAAAACAGCAGGTACCACACAATATCAACCGTGAGTTGAGGCCATGAGTTGAGGCCATGAGTTGAGGCCATGAGTTGACGAAGTTTCTCTTGATAAAATGTGAGGCTCCCAGTATACTAATAGAGGTTAAGGTGCACTCACATTTTCTTTTATCTTTTATATATGCATCTTCTTCTTCTCTATATGTTAGTCTTTCTAGATACTTTTGTGTCTTTTAGTCCCTCTGTCCAAATTTATGCTTACGCTTTTCATTTTTTTCAATTCAAAACTTATCTTTACTTCTCTAGGGAACTGCACAAGTTCATATTTTGATCCTATACTTATGGATACTAAAAATATAACTTTTCTATATCGCTCTCAACCTTCGCATGTGTTAACCCTAATCGTCCGACATTCCTCCTTGGCGTATTATGTTCGGATCGGTTGGGCCATCCTCTACTTACCAGTTAATGGGCCACCTCAATGTCCCACTTTTGGATGAAACCAGGCTCAACTAAACGGCTCTCCAGCGCTTCACCTTTGGCACAAGCCTTCTTGTATATGTTTTTGGCATCTTAGACGTTTCTTTTTGTGTATCCCCTCTTTCGATATTTTAATAAAATCGTTGGTTTAAAAAAAAAAAAGTCACTAAGATCGCTTGTCTGAAGCATTTCAAAGCAATGTGTTAGGACAGCAGTGTGGAATTTTATCCATAAAATAACTCAACTTTAAAAACTACTTTCTCCATTCTATTTTAGTTGCAACATTCCCATTTGCACGTTTTCCAACGCACACCTTTGAACGTTTTGAAAATTAGATGAGATGAATTCAACTATATATTTTAAAAAAAGGATTCCCACACATTATGAAATAATATAGTCAAAGTAGAGTATATGAATAGTGTAAAATTATCCATGTTTCAACTAAAAATAAACGGAATATAGTAAGAAGTTCTTATCCAGTTATGTGACAAGGTATCAGTGATCATTCATTTTTTCAAACACAATCACTTTGCATATATGCCAGGAAGAATGAGATTACTTGATATGTAAGAAGCAATACATATGAAAAGTTTAAAAAAATGTACTGGATAAATGATAAAATAGTGAAAGGATAATGATGTTTATTTGTGGTATATATAAATATCTGATAGTAAAAGAACATGAATAGTAATTTATATGTTATGAAGGTAACCATAATAATAGGAATAATTTATTCCTTGGAAAGACAGTGTATCAGCAACAATATCAAATTAATGTATTGCCTGCAAATACATGGAATTGCAGCAGCAAGTGCTCAAACCCTGTCATAACTATTATCATTACATTTGCTAAATATAGAAATATAACTTAATTATTTAAGCTTGAAGGAAAACTCATAAATTGCATATTTCCACTTCATTTAAAAGACCTGGTGTTAAATAATACAGAGGGATTTAATATTGGTTAACAACATAAACATGTCCTATCTAATGATAGAACTGTGGAAGTTGGTATGGCAAACAACTCCGATCATTATCCAACTAAAAGAAAAATGTCCAAACAATTCACAAAATGTTGAAATTTAAACTCCCACTCCAACTCCAAGAGTATGTATATACTTCATACTTGTGCCACCTAATGGACCAGAAAATTCAGCTCCTCAATAAAAAAACACAAAAGGGTAGAAAGCTAACCAAATAATCTACTATATAAACAGTTTTCCCTATTAAAAACTGTTTTCTCAATCATTTGTAATTTCATTGACAATTTCTGATCTATTTACCTTATCCTCTGTCATGTCCATGGTGTCAAGTTCATTAATCCATTCTGCTACGCCCAGCATCCTTAGTATACATATGACGGCTCCTTTTAAGGGATGCATAACCCTTTGAAGCTCACTCAATTTAGAAGCCAATTCTAAATCCATTTGGGGCTTAAGCGTTAATGGACTATTCTCTAGTTCCTCCAAATTGAAAATTTGCCTGTCTTCTATTTCAACATGAGGAGCTAGAATGGAAAAAAATTAAATTAAGATTAATATTATGCTACTACCTCTGTCCCAAAGAAATTCACCATATTGACAATTATTGGTTATTGATGTCAAAATTTGGATAGAACAACATCCAAGCCTTAATCCCAAAAGAAATTGGGGACGGCAAAGATGAATCAATCTAAGATTAATTAATTATTGATGTTAGCCGACCCCAATATTGTTTGGGACTAAGGCTTGGATGTTGTTGTTGTTGATCATTGGTCGAAATTGATTATCATTGATCAAAAAAGTCAATTTGGCAAACATTTTTAAGACGTAGGAAGTATAAGATAAATGTTCTAAGAAGCTAAATTTTGTGAATTTACCGGCTGCTCCACAATAATGTAGTTCCAAATCAAATTGCGTCATGAGAGTAAGAGCTTTCCGAACATAGAGAAGCATTGCATTTGATTCTGGGCAGATTGTAAGGAGTTCTTCTTGGCATGGCAGGTTAACAGGGCTAACCCCGTTGCCTCTTATATAGAGGCGAACCCTACCAAAAACCAACAACTAAAACCACACACAAAAAATCAGGAAAACAAAGGGAAAATAGGGGAAAAGACATTACTGTAATTTTTTGTGATTGTGTCCTGTGGTGCGGGGCTTCTTGTCGCTGAATATTCACCCCGGGGCAACTCCTTAGGACACGTAGGTGGAGGTCGTATATTCATTTTGTGCGCTTCGAAACTGTGTTGTGTTTGAACAAAGTGTTGAGAGGTGTTAGTAGTGAAAATGTTCTATTTATAATGCATTTGTATCAACATCATATATACAATTGGACATATATATTTATTTTAATTCTTTTTGTAGGATGACAGAGAGCATAAATATATACTACCGTTTAACATATGCTAGACTGCAATGCTGCATTACTCTTTCTATTTTTATGCTCTTACTATTATGATTTTATTATATACCAGTTTTAGTAAGGATTAGTGCCCAATAGTTAAAAACTCTGTTTTTTTATTTAACACAAAATTTGACAGTTTTGGGAAATGCATCTTGTAGCTAATCTGCCAAACTGAGACAAAGATTATGGTGGACATTCCTTTTCCAATACTTAACTATGCACACCGAGTATTGGATTTCCCTTATTAGTTAAGTAACATATACAGGCCTGACTTGTTTTGACCCCGCATCTAGCATTTGGAATTATACGTCATCATGTAGTGTTTTTAATCACATAATTCATATTACTACGTTATTATGTTAAGAAATTTACAAATCTAGTTTTCAATTCACAAATGAAATCAGAAAACTACATAAGTAATTCATCTATAACCTATTAACCCTTTCAAAAATGAAAAAATCATACCATAACTTAGTAAAATAAAATTGAAATGTAAAAAATTACAAAGGTTAATAACTTACCTACGGCTGACTACGGTTTAATGGGTCTAAGCTGCTAAGTGAAGTAGCCGGTAGAATGGAGCATTAGAGCAGGAAAGACAGAAGAACCTGGCAGGGATGGCTGGACGTGGTGAGCGGGGCTAGCAAGTCTCAAGTCTCACCTCTGGCAAGACAGAAGAACCTGGTTTCTCTGGGTTTGGGACTGGGCTGGGCTGAATTATTTTTTGGGCTAGGCCCCTACCTCCAATTTTTTTATACTGTGCGGCTAGAAATGTACGAGTGAAAGACCATTTGACTTTAAAACTACAAATTTTGAACATGGAAAGGTGGGGGCCTTTTATATAGTAAAAAATAAGTTTCAAATATATAATAAAAAATTACCAATTAAAATCCCAATATATCTCACACCAGCGGTAAGAAATAAAAGATAGAGGTTGTTTGGTGATCTCGTTTTTCAGCTTATCAGGTTTTATTAATCAACCTTTGCATAACATGTGTAATTTTTTTTATTTCATTCGCAAAATTATGTAATAATATGAAAAAGTAAGATTGGAGTCACTTTTATGATCGTACTGGACTACTGGCTAAAGTTACTATAGAGAATAAGCCACTCACACCAACTCATAAAATTAAAATAAGTTCTTTAATTAAGGCCGGAGTGATCTTCATTCCCATTACAATTGTCACCACTATCATATGCAAGCAACAAATTATGTAATTATTTGAAAATTCACACTCATTCTCAGTTACCTACAAATATAAATATGGAAAATACTAAAGGTACACATGGTGAACACAAAGTGTACACCATATAAAAGGCCCAAAAAAATTCATTTCCTTCTTTCTCCTCTCTCCACTCTCTCTTTCCCCTCCCCCTCCTCTCTTTGCTCTTTACCCAACCCATTCGAATATCTACCTTTTTCCCATTGGAAAATGAGAGATCATCTTCTCTTCTTCATCTCCCCTTCTTCATCCTCTTTTTCTCTACTTGTATATATTAATTGTTTTTTCATTATTTGCACAAAATCAACTTATTTATCTTATTTCATCTATTTTTATTTTTATTTTCAATTTTTTTCAAATTAAATGTAAATTGATCACATATACAACTACATCATTCATTTGGATATATATATATGTGTGTGTGTGTGTGTGTATAATTAAATTTTTCATTCATTCAGACAATTGAAATTGATCACACCGACAATTAAAATTGTCTGTGTAACATGAAAATATTGTCTGTGCACAGGCATTGCACATTAATTGATTGATTTGCAAGCTAATGTCAGTGTCAGACGGCTGTCAGTGTACTTTTTAGAAAAAAGTAAATGTTTGTGGACACAGACAAAAGTTGTCTGTGTACACAGACAACTCTACTCTTGTTTGTGTCCAAATTCCGTATCAATTGTTTGTGACCGACATTTTGTGTACAACTTGTGTACCCTAGCATGCTTGATATAAATATGTATACATACAAACGGATAGAAAAGATCAGGTCCCTCCGGAGGGACGGGAGGGACCGTCCGAACATTACTGTTTGGGGTGGTTCCCGGTGGAATTTTTTGATGAAATTTTTTGAGCATGTTCCTCATCAAGTCTAGTTTGTCCATACCAAAGTTCAGCTCAAAATTCGACCGGGAAGGCAGTCAAATAAATTCTTGAAGCTTACTGCACATTCTGCGCATATATAAAGTGCAATAAGTTTCAAGAATTTATTTGACTGCCTTCCCGGTCGAATTTTGAGCTGAAATTTGGTATGGACAAACTAGACTTGATGAGGAACATGCTCAAAAAATTTCATCAAAAAATTCCACCGGGAACCGCCCCAAACAGTAAAGTTCGGACGGTCCCTCCCGTCCCTCCGGAGGGACCTGAGCAGTCCTCTACAAACGGATTCTTTATATACTTGTATAAAGATTAATTAATAAACACATACTAAATGTCCAGCGCTAGCTTGATTATAAAAACACACATTTAAACAACCCGAATTTTCTTTAGTTGGGTCGAACATAAAACCGAAGTGATTGACTGCTATAATTGTTAAACAATTGGCTTCTTGATGAAGACAACTCGCTCGCTCCTGTAGCTCTCCCGAACGACGGAAACAACAACAATGCAACAGCCAACATCCACCTTCTAAAACATCAGAAGACGAACAACCTCCTTGGCCGGAAAGTCGTCTGACCGCTGCCGTCCCAAACCGACAAACCCCGGCCAGTGGTAACAGATGCCCTCTGTCGCCCAAACAAACCCATCTGAGACTAAAGCCTCCTCCATTCTCTGCCACCCTAGCTATTTGCGAAGTACCATCTAGGCATCTATTGCTTTTGCAAGATATATGAAGTCAGTGCTTCGTTTGTGATTTTTTTTACAGAGCACGCTTTAACACTTTTATAGCGGAACAATTACGCTATGATGGTGCGTACCATACCGTTTACTGTTTGACCACCCTTCTCAGCCAATTAAAAGCAAGTATAAAGAACATCCAATCACAATTTTGGTGAAAAGTAGTCACCACCCTTTACAACCAATAGGAACCTTGGGTTTACCGTTCCCGCTCACTTCTGTCGCTGTCTCGCCCAAAAGGAATCGCACTTGTAAAAATAATTACGCTAGGAGAACCGAATGCATAAGTTAACACGTTGACACTTATCGTTCTGTTATGCAACGCGAACAGACAGCGACAGAAGTGAGCGGGAACACTGCTCCTTGAAATTTTTGCTTTTAGATAAAGGTAGATATTAATTTTTAGATAATTTAGGATATTTTCACTGGTGTGTAATTGTGTTTGGTTTCGATCTATTCCTTGATCGGTTCCTAGTTCTTGTTTTTCTGATTGTGTTTTGCTAGTGTTTTCAATAGCAGGCAGAATGGGAAAACATGAGGAGTCAGTTGAGTGCTAAGGTCATCTGCAATTGAAAACGGAAGATGACAAACTGTTGGATATTTTGCTGCCAGATGAGAGCGAGAGGGAAGACAAGCTATGGTTGGTTTTTACAGAGAAGAGAGTCAGTTTTGTGGCGTTTAGGGACACAAATGGCTTCTTTTTGGAGACCGGACAGAGGTGTATCAATCAAAGAAATAGATGATAAGCGGTAAATCTTCTCTTTTTATCATGAAATTGATATTAAGCATGTTATAGAGTATGGTCCATGATTGTATGATCAGAATCATGTGGTGTTGCGTGAGCTCAAGTTAGATGATGTGCCTTTGAAAGTTCCTCTATTTTTTTTTCGATTTTTTTGGGTCCAAGTGCATTACCGTAGGTCACTTGACTTTAAGGGTTGCAAGATTCATTGGTAATTATCTTGGATGTTTCAGTAAACTTGGGCGTTGGAGGGCCTATTTGAGGATCCGGGTCCGTCTTGGTATAAGGAAACCCCTCAAGAAAAATTTAAAGGTTCAAAAAAAATGAATGGGGATTGTCTATGGGTAGATCTGAGATATGAAAAGCTTCCAAAGTTCTGTTTTGCTTGTGGCTGTATTGGTCATGGAGATAAATTCTATCCCCAAGCTCTTTTACAACCAAATTCAGAACTTATAAGAGAGTTTTGGCCGTGGATGAGAGCTAGTAGTGGGCATACTAGTAGAAGGGGAGGTAGCAAGTGGCTTGTTGGTGAAAAGGCAATTAAGCAGGGGTTTGGCACTGCTGTGGGAATGAAGATATCTACTCAGGCAATGGAGATATTGGAGTTGAGTTCTAGTTCTGTTGTTTTTGTAGGTGAGATGAAGAATCCAGAGAGCCCGAATAAAGGAGTAAAGGTTGTTGAACAAAAACGCCGTCAGGGTGGACTTGGAATCATCATCTGCATGCACATTGATGGAGATTGAAACCTGTGGCAGAAAAAACGGGGTTGGGGCGAGATTTGGATAAGGCAGATTTGGATCTAGATTTTGTTCAAGTTATGGACTCCTCTCTTTTACCAATGATTTCGATTAGGAAGGTAAACATGGATTTTGGGGTCATTCGGGCTATAATCATAGGGATTAAGAAGATGTCAGTGGAAATTGTGGTGATGGGCTTGCAAGGAATGTTTCAAGATGAAGGGTTGATGATCCACCCCCCTCCTGAGCCACCGCCGAGGATTTCATTTTAGATATTCGATTTTACATTAATTTGTTTCGCTTATTTGATTTTTTAAAGAAGTGTTTTTTTATTCATCCTTGAGATATAAAAATGGTTCAATACCACAGCTGTGGTCCACTTTGTTCTTTTCCTTAGCTATGGTTTTTCGAGTGTTCTTAGGTTTTGGATGTTAGTATGTCTTGTGTTTTGTTGTTTTGGTGGCAAAATAGATATCCCTAGATGAGCATATCTCCACTAATACCACTGCAGACGCCGACTGATGGCATGAATCTCGGTAAAACCCCGCCCTCTATATGGCTGTTATGGAACAGTTCACACTTGGTTCATTTCTTGCTAAGTGGAACACCGTTTCCTTCTATTTTTTTGTTATGATTTGTAGATTTTGCGGTCTTGGTGGATTTGGTCAATTGCGTATAGGATTGATAACAAGATGGGAAAAGGAGGTTTCTGTCAATTGAATGTTGGCCACCAACTTTTTAATAACTGGTCTTGGAGTTGTAAAAGTAAGATTCTACAATATTATTTGTTTTCCCAATTAACAAATCAAGGGCTGTTTAAAAATGTTTTAATGGGTTAATAATACTTGTTTAGATGGCTCTAAAATTTGAGCACAAGAGCAGCAAAGGTTGTAACTATGGATAACCTTATGAGTGGCAACCCTACAAGTAAGCATGAAAAACTTTTCTGGTTGTTGGTTATCCTTTCAAGTACAAAGTGCTCACTTGCTTGATGAAGGCGATCTTTTTTATATATGAAAACCGAGTGGCTGATCATGAAGGATTCCCACTTTAAAAAAGAAAAGCAAGAATATACAGATAAACTGCAGTCTTCATTTGTTTTGCTGAAACTAAATAAATGAACAAAATACTCAAGTAAACGAAAAAGTTATAAATTGTAGTCACGAATACTTCACAATGTAGGTATGTAGCTAAATTATTAGGCCAAATGAGTATGCACTTCAATGCAGTCTGTTTCTACTTCAGCAATTGTATGCCCGGTGGACTGAGCTTCTTGGACTCCATGATCATCTTTTACTATTAGATTTCTTTTTCCGAAAACTTGCAACAAACCTCAGTTGTTATGCAAGGGCTATTCTCCTTGATGGTCTCATATATTCCTGTTATCGTTTTCAGTAGTTTATATTGCATCTTATTCTGCTCTAATAATCAGAGTGAAGAACTCATTGATCATAATTTGCGTCTTTGGTAGAGCTGGCCTCTGGGTTAGTCTGATTTTATAAAGTTTTGAACTTTTCTATAGTACATCACAAATATTCTAACCAGCATGAGGGTCTCCATTTTTTTTAAAACTATAAAATACTTAGTCACCAAATAGTCATTCATTTTAAAATGATAAGAGAGAGGTAGCTTGTTAAGCACAAAAAACTTATTAAAAGTCATATTATGGTCATTGTTTTTAGGGAAATTATCATTGACCTCCCTCGAGGTTTCACATATTATCATCTAGACCCCTGCACTATTAAAAATGTACACTTACCCCCCTCCATATACTTTAATGAAAGTTTAATAACACTTGATTATGTTTATCAAAAATATAAATTTAGTTTTATAAATTTACTTACTTGCAGATTTAATATGATACTTAATAAATTTACCAGTATTTTACATGTAAGCATGTTCATATTTTGTCAAATGTTAACTTACAAGTTATTATTATACCTATACAACAACAACAACAACATCCAAGCCTTAGTCCCAAACGATATTGGGGTCGGCTAACATGAATCGATACATGATATCATCCAAAAGAAAAGAAAGGAAATAAAGATAAAAAAGATAAGCTATTATAAAAAAGATAATATAAAATAGATGAATATACATATAAAAGATAAAATAAAAAGGATAAAGTAATGTTTATATATAAGGATAAAAATATAAAAAAAGAAAGAGAAGAAGAAGAAGAAAAGAGGGGAAAAGATGATACAATATCACTCCTCCACACGAATACCCGCCCTCCATTTCGCTCTTTCCAGAGCCATACTCTCATCTAATCCAAGAAGAAGCATATCACTTCTGACTCCCCTAGCCCACGTCTGTTTGGGCCTTCCTCTCCCTCTCTTCCCTGCCTCTTCTCCACACATCTCCACTCGTCTGACAGGTGCATCAATCGGTCTCCTATGCACATGACCAAACCATCGTAGGCGCGACTCCCGCATCTTATCTTCAATAGGTGCTACTCCCACCCTTTGTCTTATTGTCTCATTCCTCACACGATCCTTTCTAGTATGCCCGCACATCCATCGCAGCATGCGCATCTCTGCCACACTCATCTTTTGAATGTGACATTGTTTCACCGCCCAACACTCCGTGCCATACAGTAGTGCAGGTCTAATTGCTGTCCTATAAAATTTACCCTTCAGTCTAGTCGGCATACCTCGATCACATAGAAATCCTGACGCACTCTTCCACTTCATCCACCCTGTTCTGATTCTATGGGATACATCTCCATCTAACTCACCGTCCTTCTGAATTATAGAGCCCAAGTAACGGAACATATCGCTGACCGGTATCTCCTTACCATCTAAAGTAATTCCGCTATTACCACTGCTTCTACCTCCACAAAACTTGCACTCCATGTACTCTGTCTTGCTCCTACTTAGTCTGAAACCCTTGTTCTCCAATGTTTGTCGCCATACTTCCAACTTTGCTTTAACCCCTGATTGTGTCTCATCAATCAAAACAATATCATCGGCAAACATCATGCACCACGGTATATCATCTTGAATTGACTTTGTAAGTTCATCCATGACTATGGCAAATAAAAAAGGGCTCAGAGCCGATCCTTGGTGCACTCCGATAGTAATAGGGAACTCCGCAGTCCTCCCTACACTAGTACGGACACTTGTAGTACAATCCTCATACATATCCATGATGATGCTGATATACTTCCATGAAATGCCTTTTCTAGTTAAGGCCCACCAAAGAACTTCTCGAGGTACCCTATCATATGCCTTTTCTAAGTCAATGAACACTAAATGCAAATCCTTGTGAGCGTCTCTATACTTCTCCATAAGTTGTCGAAGAAGGTGAATAGCCTCAGTTGTTGAGCGACCAGGCATAAAACCGAATTGATTCTCTGAAATCTTCACCGTTCTTCGAAGTCTTTGCTCAATCACTCGCTCCCAAAGTTTCATGGTATGACTCATAAGCTTAATCCCTCGATAGTTGGCACATTCTTGTATATCACCTTTATTCTTAAATAAGGGAATAAGAGTACTCTTTCTCCAACTCGTTGGCATCTTGTTGTTTCTCCAAATCTTGTTGAAGAAATTTGTTAACCACTCGATGCCTCTTTCTCCCAAACTTCTCCAAGCCTCGATCGGTATGCCATCTGGACCCACTGCTTTCTTCCGCCCCATCTTTCTCAGAGCCTCTTTAACTTCCGTTGGTTGGATCCTTCTCACAAAATCACGATTTACCATACAATCTGGTATGGTCAAATCACCAATATCTTGCACTTTGTTCCCGTTGAACAATGTGTCAAAGTATGACCTCCACCTCTCTTTTATCTCTATGTCCTCCATTAATATCCTTTGATCGACATCCTTCACACACTTAACTTTTCCGATATCTTGAGTCCTACGATCACGAAGACGAGCAAGTTTATAGATATCTTGTTCTCCTTCCTTAGAGTCCAATTTTTCATACAACTCCTTATTCACTTTCCCTTGTGATTCCTTTACGGCTTTCTTTGCTTGTCTTCTAGCCTCCTTATACCTATAATGATCTCATTTTCAATGATAACAATTCAAAGAGAGTTGGTTTGGTTCATTTAATTTGATTTGTTTCGTTTTTTGACAAATTTAGCATATTTTTATCATTTTTAGTTGAGTAAATTCACTCACTTTACAAATTCAAAGACATAAAACAAACTACTATACCTAAAGTGAGGTCATTTTTGGTCATTTTTTATTTTGTTCGGCTTCCGGTAATTTAATGGACAAATTTACTAATTACCCAACCAGATTTGTGATTGAATAAAATTACAGTATTAAAAGCGGACATAACAAAAAATTGTGAAATTATATCTATAATTATCTCTAAATATAGATTAAAAGTTATTTAATCATCATTAAAGGATAAGGAAGGGGGTAAGAGTATATTTTTGATAGTATACGGGTGTAATTGATAATGCATCAAACCTCAAGGGAGGTCAATAATAATTGCCCTTGTTTTTATCATACATTTGTCATTTTTTCCCTAATGGGACTGGAAATGAAATAATAATACCAATGTAAATGAAAGAATGCACACCATGGCCTTGGTCTCTGAATAAAATGAGCTTGTGAAATGAAGTTTGTCTTCAACCTAATTGTGTGTACGAGACCCTGAACCACCTGACTCAGAAATGGTTTGAAACCATACTTTGATTCACTCTTTTATCATTTTTTTGAGTCAGGTGTGAGGGTGTGACGGTAGGTGATTCCACATTTTTGGATTGAATATAATATCTCTAATAGATAACATGTTTTCTATAAAACTATGTTCTTATGCCATTAAAGGGGACCCGTCTGACTTCTTTTATATGTTTACATCGTTTCAGGTGGTCAAAACCTTCTAAAGCAAGGCCTCATCTGCAATCACAGGTTAAAAGATGATGAGATATAGACTCTAAATGATTTTACATTGGAGCCTCTTGGATGAGAAAGTTTGACTGTTAATATTTAGCAAAAAAAGAGAGTCAAATGACATTTTTTCCTGTACCATTACATGTTTTGATTTTCTCTCACGAGGTTGCTTTCTGTGAAAGTAAAAGTTAATCGTTGCGTCCGTGTATAATCCTTCATTAAATGTTTGCCTGTTGGATGCTGCTGGTTATGCAACATTTTCAGCAAGAAAATGTTGCATGTCTCAGTCGTCCCTAAGAAAATACATTAAAAAATATACAATTTTTCTCATGAGGTTTACTTTCTATCATTAACAGGTGAAAGAACAGGGGTGAAGAGACAATAATTGTTGTGCCCCGAACCGACAAAAAAAGTTTCTAATTTCATTTTTTACGGGTAAACAACCGGACATTTTATTTTATTTTTTATTGTTTCTATTTTTTATTTTTCGATTTATTGCAATTTTGACACTTTAATAGTTTAAGGATGCGAATTGGACCTTTTTTACCGGTAGTTTAGCTGCGAAAAAAATGAAATTTGAACCCTTTTTGCCGGTTCGGGTGCCAATGGGACCATCTTTTAGTTTATTGATTTAATTGAGCTTACACGATCGCTACAAGGGCCCATTTTAGCTCTGTGATAAAGAAAGGTTTCAAAAGAGCCTTTTCTGCCTCATGGGCTAAGGAGCTATGATATTAGGTTTGATCATGTTGTAAAACATAACATTCTTCAAAGGGTATGTTTTGGAAATGGTGATTTCGACAGAAATGGATGGGAAGTTGTTTTTATCTTTTTATTCATTTTGAGAAAGTAGTGTTTTAACTTTACTTTTTTCTTCCAAATAAAAGATGCTGAGTATTCATGTTTACTTCCCATTTCTAATTTTTGGATTCATTTAGATTACTTTTTATATAAAAATCTTAAAACTTGTGACTTTCACCTTTTGTTGCTACAACTATTCTCTAATACTTAGATTTGTTTGCTATTTATAGACAATTTTAATGTCGTTGGAAAATGTAGTTGTTCAATGTTAATTATAGGTTATTTTGACTCTTAAATACCGTATAGGGATATTTTTATCATCTTCTTTGTTGCTTGATTGAAGGCTGTATTTCCTCATTTCAGATTTACAATCTGGTTTCTATGTTTGCATATATACTAGTAAATTCACATTGAACTTGCAGTTTTTTCATCCCTTCTCAGATCCTAGAGTTGATATGTTGTTACTTTTGTATCTAATTCTTTTTTATACAATGGACTGGATATATGTGATCCTTTAATTTCATTCTTGACTATGTTGATTCAAGTGCCAGCAGACCTTATGTATATGTTGTCGCTCACACGGTTTCTTCAAATCTGGTCTTTAAATTAAGAGTCATATTTTGTTTAGTTATAAACTGTAACATTTTGAATTTTTGCAGGCGACAAATCTTAGAAGTCTTGGAATCTGACATGTTTCTAAAAATATGACATACCTTTTGAATATTGACAAATATTTTATATTATTATTACTATTATTACTATTATTATTATTACTACTACTGTTGCTGCTGCTGCCGCCGCCGCCGTTGCCGCCGCCGCCGCCGTTGCCGCCGCCGCTGCCGCCGCCGCCGCCGGCGCCGCCGCCACTACGACTACTACTACGACCACTACTACTACTACCACTACGACTACTACTACTACGACTACTACTACGACTACTACTACTACGACTACTACTACTACTACGACTACTACTACTACGACTACTACTACTACGACGACTACTAATACCACTACGACTACTACTACCACTACGACTACTACTACCACTACTACTACGACTACTACTACCACTACGACTACTACTACAACGACTACTACGACTACTACTACCACTACTACTACGACTACTACCACCACCACGACCACCGCCACTACCGTGACTACCGCGATTACGACGACTACTACTGCGACTACGACGACTACTACCACCACGACGACCACCACGACTATCGCGACTACCGCGACTACGACGACTACTACCGCGACTACCACTACTACCGTGACTACCACGACGACCGCGACTACCACGACGACCGCGACTACTCCTACTACTCCTACTACTGCTACTACTACTACTACGACTACTACGACTACTACTACTACTACGACTACTACTACTATGACTACTACTACTACTACTACGACTACTACCACTACTACCACTACTACGACTACTACGACTACTACGACTACTACGACTACTACCACCACTACCACTACTACGACTACTACTACTACTACGACTACTACTACTACGACTACTACGACTACGACTACTAGTACTACTACGACTACTACTACTACTACTACGACTACTACTACTACTACTACTACTACTACTACTACTACTACTACTACTACGACTACGACTACTACTACTACTACTACGTCTACTACCACTACTACCACTACTACTACTACTATGACTACTACCACCACGACGACCAACACTACTACTACCACCACGACTACCACCACTACTACTACCACCACGACGACCACCACTACTACTACCACCACCACGACCACTACTACTACCACCACGACGACCACTACTACTACTACCACCACGACTACCGCGACCACCACGACTACCGCGACTACCGCGACTACGACGACTACTACCGCGACTACGACGACTACTACCGCAACTACCACTACCACCGCGACTACCACGACGACCGCGACTACCACGACGACCGCGACTACTGCTACTACTGCTACTACTGCTACTACTGCTACTACTGCTACTACTGCTGCCACTACTGCTGCCACTACTACTGCCACTACTACTACTACCACTGCCACCACTGCCACCACTACCACCACTGCCACCACTACCACTACTGCTACTACTACCACCACTGCCACCACTACTACCACCACCATTACTGCTACTACTACTACCACTACTACCACTACTACCACTACTACTACCACTACCACCACCACCACTACCACCACTACCACCACCACTACCACCACGACCACCACGACCACCACCACGACTACCACCACCACTACCACCACGACCACCACGACCACCACCATGACTACTACGACCACTACTACTACTACCACCACCACCACCACCCCCCCCCCCACCCCCCCCCCACCACCACCACGGCTACCACTACTGCTACTACTGCTGCCACTACTATTGCCACCACTGCCACCACTGCCACCACTACCACCACTGCCATCACTACTACCACTACCACTACTGCTACTACTACCACCACTGCCACAACTACTACCACTACCACTACTGCTACTACTACTGCCACTACTACCATTACTACTACCACTACCACCACTACTACTACCACCACTACCACCACTACCACCACCACTACCACCACGACCACCACGACCACCACCACGACTACCACCACCACTACCACCACGACCACCACGACCACCACCACGACTACTACGACCACTACTACTACTACCACCACCACCACCACCACCACCACCCCCACCACCACCCCCACCACCACCACCCCCCCCCCACCACCACCACCACCACCACCCCCACCACCACCCCCACCCCCACCCCCACCCCCACCACCACCACCACTACCACTACCACCACCACCACTACTACTACTACTACTACTACTACTATTATCCTTCTCCTTGTTGTATGCAGTTTGAATTCAACTTGGAAAGTCATTTTGGGCAAGACCAAACTTCTGCAAGAGATGTTGTTAAACATGAAGGGAGTTTTATAAAAGCTATTGTTTTCCTTTTTTTAGTTTAGCAAAACTTTAGGCCAAATTACCAGATTGGTAAAAAAAAAAAGGTTGTTGGACAAATTGGTAAAATCAAACAGTTTGAGACAAATTGGTAAAAAAAAGAAACCCCAGTGACAAATTAATCAATTTTTTTTAAAGTGATAAACTTTTGATTCCCGACTTTAGAATTCTCGTCATTTCATATTAAAAGTATTATGAAATTGACATTTGGAGTCATTCTATTTTGATTTTGTCATCAATAGTGGAGGTCTAAAAATGTCAACGGCCGTGTTTGATAATAGCGGTTGTCTGCTAGCTCATAACCGGTTGAATCAACATATTGATAATAGTGGATTCCATTAGCGTTTGAAATAAAATGTTAGTAACTTAACTATTTTGAACTTTTATCATATTAGAAGTTTTTTATTTGTTAGTAACTTATCATTTTATATTTATCATAACTTTATTTCTTTTATTTTTATTAAGTCTTTCAAAAGATTTTAAAAATTATATATACATTTATTTTAAATAACCATGGAGTAGATTTAAAAAAAACTAATAAATAGTCATATGGAGTAGATTTTTTAAAATAAATGTAAACATATTTTTTAAAACTTTTTCCAAGACTTATTAAAAATAAAAAGAAATAAAATTGATTTAAATGTATAAACATTTAAATTCATTTGTAACGGTCATTTTATGTTTGAAAAGCTAATTGCAAATTTTATGTTACTTATATTATTGTATGTCAAAACGGCTAATGAAAGTGGTTAGTAAAAAAAAACTAACGGAATCTGCTAATATCAATCTACTGATACAATTGGTTATGAGCTAGCAAACAACCACTATTATCAAACACGGTTGTTGACATTTTAGACTCCCACTTTTGATGACAAAATCAAAGTAAAAGGACTGCAAATAATAATTTCACAATACTTATAATATGAAATGTTGGGAATTCTAAAGTCAGAAATAAAAAGTTTTTCACTCTAAAAAAATTGACCAATCTATCACTAGGGTTTTTTTTTACTAATTTGTCTCAAACTGTTTTTTTTTTTTTTTTTACAAATTTGTCTAACATCCATCTTTTTTTTACCAATCTGGTAATTTGGCCCAAAACTTTAATATGTATGCTGCAAATGATGCCAAGGTTAATATCGGTTGTATCGTACTTTGTCGAGCTCATACAAATGATGCCCAAGTCATACCAATCAACTCTTTTGGTTATGTACATATCATGTCGTGTTTTTTCCTTTAATTTTGCGCGTTGGGCATGAATACTCGCGTGCACCCGCTAGTACACATATATACATATAACGTGTGTGTGTGTATATATATAGAGAGGACTACTCAGGTCCAGCCGGAGGGACGGGAGCAGCCGTCCGAACTTTACTGTTTGGGGCGGTTCCTGGGAGAATTTTTTGATGAAATTTTTTGAGCATGTTCCTCATCACGTCTAGTTTGTCCATACCAAATTTCAGCTAAAAATTTGACCGGGAAGGCAGTCAAATAAATTCTTGCGCAGAATGTGCAGTAAGCTTCAAGAATTTATTTGACTGCCTTCTCGGTCGAATTTTGAGCTGAAATTTGGTATGGACAAACTAGACTTGATAAGGAAAATGCTCAAAAAATTTCATCGAAAAATTCTATCGATGAAATTTTTTGGGCATGTTCCTCATCAAGTATAGTATATTCATACCAAATTTCAGATAAAAATTCAATCGGGAAGGCGGTAAAAAAAATTCCCTACGAAAACTGGTCTGTTTATATATATATATATATATATATATATATATATATATAATACCCAGTTTTCGTAGGGAATTTTTTTGACCGCCTTCACGATTGAAT